GACATTTCCTGTAGATGGCTGTTAAAACTCACTGAAGTGCTCAGAAACATAAGTACAAACTTTAAATACTGTAATCTTTTTATCTCTTTTAGAGCTTTTTGTGTTCTTTGATGGGATGAATCAGGAATAATCTGATGGTCCACGACTCCAGATTCCATCCTTTTACAGTGAAACGGTGTGCCGTGCACCGAAAAGTAGAAAAGTGTCTTCTTTTAATTGGGAAGCGAACTGCAACTTTTGGTGTTCTAATATTTGTTATATTTTGTTTTGCTGCATAAACCACACTAACAGAACCATTCATCTTTACACAATTAGATTTTTATCATACACATTGTATTACCTAACATTTGCTCTGATGTCCTTTTATAAATTGCATTTACATTATATTAGAATTAGGAAATGATTTATGTATGCTGGTAGATAAACTTTAGAAGGTATAATTTTAATTAAATAAAGAATGCTGGAAATAAATATACTTTGATTTCTCTCTAAAGAAAATAAATTGCCTAAGTGTTTTAGGTAAAAACAATCTGGTCATCAATTTTATAAGTATGCACTTAAGATAAAGACAAAAATAATGCTGGATTGCTTATCACTGCCTTAGTTTGTGGCAAGTTGTATTTTATTTTATTTTATTTTTTATTTTTTTTGTAAAGCATTGTTCTGCCTTAGCTTTTATTTAGCAAAAGAAATGTTCATTGGACTCTAGAAGGAACGTGTTAGAAAATGCTAATTTGACTCTTTCTGACCATCTGTAAAGCATTGAGTGTGATTTAGAAATGAAAATAAAATAATTTAACAAAAGCATGTCATGACATCTTCAAACTACCAGGCCATGTTACAACACACATATCTGTGACAGTGTTAAAGGCTCTACAGATGTTTCGATTCACATCTATAGCATGAAATGATCACGAAGAGATGGCAGTCCGTGTCTTATTGTAGAGAATCAGCAGCCCCTGCAGTTCCGTGCAGCAAAAAATGGAGAATAGCAGAAGGAAGTTGTGTTTTTTACCACTCTGGTATTACATGAGACTAGAAATCTAGATGTGCTCTCGCTAAAATGAAAATTGCTGCAGTCTGACAGTCACAGTTAAAACTCTTAGTAAGTCAAAACCACAACAGTATCATAACCTAAAGTCTACCTTATTTGCTGCTTTTTTTATTTTGCATCAATAAAGTCTCAGGCAGAAGTCAATTAAGATTCTGGATTTCACACCGTAAAGCAGTCAACCACGTAAAGACTAATTTTAGCTCATAGCTTTAAGTGAAGATGCGCTGTGGGAGCAATTTGATAAGCCTACTGAGAGAGAACAGCCGAGTCTTACCCGACAGCTGTACTGCACCTCATTTTTTGACAGTTTTTTTTTTCCATCTTTCTCCCCTTCATCAGTTCCTCAATTCCTCCTTCACCCCATTCCTCCCTCATTCCCCCCTCTATAGATAATGAGTTTTAATGTAGAAAATTTGATATGGCAGGAAGAAGTCAGAATTTCCCCCAGTACTTATCTCTGGCTACCAGGCCTTCCCAGATGGGTTGGCCTCTAACCTCTTTTACGCTGGCAAGCATAGAGCCAATCTCCAATCCCACACACACACACACACACACCTCTAAAATCCAAACACCACCAATGACACAATATCATTTTTTTCTGTCCACTTCCAAATATTACTTGCAGTTTTCAAAACTAAAGTTGTCCAAGTCATTTCTTAGGAAATTGTATTTTCTTCAGAAAAGTATGAATGTTGACAGCTGAATGACTTTGCTGAGTTGTCAAAGTTAAAATAAGCAGAAAAAATGAGTATAACAAAAATAAAATTAGCTAAACAAACAGTATTTAGGAAATGAATTGGCAAAAACAGGGAAACCTACCATAAGAAATGCTCAAGCTAAAATCAGCAAAACGTTGTCTAAAGTTTGAAAAAAAAGAGCTAAAAGCTAAACAAAAAAGGGAAAAACAGTAGCTAAAATTGACATAATGATAGCTAAGAGTAGCAAACAACAATTAAATGCTGAAAGTAGCTGAACAGTAGCTAAAAGTAGAATAAAAACAATAGAGCAAGAACGTCAAAGTAGATTTCAAAAGAATGTTTTTGAAGGAATCAAGAATATTGTATTTATTTGGGTGAGTGATTTTATTTTTCAATAAAAACTAAATTTTTATGAATAAAATTTACAAAAACAAAAATCATTGCACATGATTCTTGATCAAGCTGAAGATTTAGTTTAAATATAGCACCAAGTATGTGGAAATAGTTTTATTACACAAAAAATGAACAGTTGAGATGATAAGCAGTAAATTACATAATTATGAAGAATACAAGATTTAACTCTACATAAGTCAAGTAAATTTGTCACTGCAGTAGTATATTATTAGGCACTCAGAAGATGAAAAATGATAAATATTCACGTGCAAGAAAGGGGATTAATGACTGACACTGGGAAAATTGGGTTTTGCTAATGAATATTTATGGTAAAAAAAAAAAAAAACAACTCAGACATCTTTAACCCCATGTCTTCTTCTGATAACCTTCCTTCTTTTTCTTCAATCTACTGGCAATTTTCTCCCACTCCTCCACCTCCTGAGCTGTGTTCCTCATCACCACCATCATCTCTTTTGCTCTCCACTTTGCTTCGCCGTCAGCCTCCCCTCCCACCCATCCATCCCTCGTTCTCATGTCATGATTTCCTACCTCTCCTTTCATGCCATCACCACAGCATACTTTTGTTCTGTCTCCTTATTTTTAGATTTAGCCTCAGTAAAACCTTGTTATCTGAAGGAAAATGACAGAAAATAGGAAGCCTAAAATGAGTAGAAGGGGGCACAGATAGAGGTAAAAAGGTGCCATCCTTGGATTTATGAGACATAAATTATAAGAAGAGGAAGGACAGAAGAAGAAAAGTCTACATGTGCTCCTTTCTCGGTCTATGATAGCTAATTACCTGCATTGTATTTGCATAGGAGGGAGAAATAATGGGCTAAAGTGCGAGGAAGGAGAGAAATTATGACCGAGAAAGGGATTAGATGTAGAGAACAGAAGAATGAGATAAATATGAGAGATGTGTAGACTGAATAAAATAATAATACAAAAAAAAAGGTAGTCATCAGAAAGTTGATTTGTTTAAAGTAGATGCACAATATGTAAAGATTGATAGTTATTTGAGGTTTCAATTGAAAATGGTCCAGATAGGTAAACAAGTAATTGTAATAATACATAAATAATAAAATAAAGTAATTTTAGTAATTGCGCCGCTCAAGGTGGCTGCATGTTGGAGCAGCTCTGTTACTTTCATTCTGAGATTTTGCTTTTGGAAACTTTAATTCCTGTTTTTCTGGATGTAAATCATATATTTTTTGGATTACCGTTTCCTCTGATATCTGATGATGAGCAGCTGGAAGGATTTTTACTGAAACTTTTTTAGTTTGGGACATTTGTTATGATGCGTAACCATGGCAACAAGGCAGTTTTCTACAACCAACAGCAGCTGACTAACATCTCAACAGCTCAAATAATATCTCAGCTACAGCCCCAAATCTCAAATGAGTTGAAAAGGATGTGCTGTGGACTCATTCTCATCTACCTGCCAGCTGTGCTCGAGTTCCTGACCACTGAGATCCTGGAACTAGCAGGAAACACAGCTCATGACAGCGGAAGGACAGGATCGTCCCTCAGCACCTACAGTTGGCTGTCCACAGCAACGAGGAGCTCGGCAGACTGCTGGGAGGAGTGGCCATGGCTCTGGGAGGAGTTCTGCCCGGCATTCAGGCGGTCCTACAGTCCTGGGGAACCGAGAGGTCAGCCGAGTCTGGGTGGACGGATCGGACGGCATCTGCAGCCAGTTTCTTAGGATCCACTGTGGGATGGACCTTTACAAGAGATCCTTCCTGTCTACAGCCATCATTATTTATAACATCTCTTAATGAAATGAGGATAACGAGTTACAACAAATAATAATTTCCCTCTGGGATTAATAAAGTATTTGTGAATTGAATTGAACTGAACAAAAAGTGAGCTTATGTAAATTGCAAGATTTAGTCAAACATACAGAGATGCAGAGATTCAAGTAAAAATAAATTGAACGAGGATAAATGGACACGGACATGGGACAGAAGGTGAAACAGGACTACACTCTGTAAACACAAGCAAAGCAAGATCCTAAGTTTGAGAAAATAAAGAAATTGCAATAAAACATAAGGCTGTCTCATCACATTCTCACTATAAAGCCAACTTGCAACAAATCATGCTGCTCACAAAGTGTGTTTATTTTGTTTTTTACTCATGCAAAGCTCATTAATATAAACACAACAACGGGATGTTTTTAAGTGCAGAACAAGCATCCTAATGAGGGCTAATCTCTGCTTCATGATTTAAGACTATTACCCGTTTCCTGTTTTTTTTTTTTTTTTGCTTAAACAATTACTTTACTCACACAGTTGAGACTTGTGGTGAATTAAAGTTTACTCACCACAAGTTAGGAAAACCCCTCTAACGAGACATAGGCTTCAGGTACAGATGTTGCTGCTAATCCCGCTAGCTGAGGATCTTTGCATTTCTTATTCATCATCGCTCCAATGGATCAACATGGAGGGCGGTGTACATTTTCTGGCAGTAAAGCTAACAGTTTTCACATTATAATCGTTTCGAAATAAATATGATGCTAGAAACATGTTGGGATGTGTTCAGGTTATTTTGTTTGTTTGTTTCCTTGGTAAATGGAAGGAGGGCAATAGCTGTTGCATCAAAAAAGCACTCCAACTGGAAGCAACTTAGCAACACTACCAGGTGTAAGAAAAAATAAAGTGATTGCATCAGTTTGTTAAATTTGACCACCTTAACTAGACTTTGGATACTAGTTAACACTAAAATGTATGATTTGTAAAATTTGCATTCTTCCACATGGCATGTCATTGTGTTGGTTTAAAAATGTGTGTGTTCATGTTGGACACTGACTGAATCTGTATATTTTGTGAAAATATTTATTTGTTCCTCTTCTTCAGTTCCAGGCATCAGTGCTGAACAGTTCAGCGGTCCAGAGCGATATACCTAATGTGATTCTGGAGGGTCTCAGGCCTGGGACTGGCTATGTGGTCCAGGTGAGGGCCCGCACTGTGGCTGGCTATGGAGCCTACAGCAAGGAAATGCTTTTCCAAACTCTCACTGACGGTAAGAAGCGGGTGGTTGGCTGAAGTGCGCGGAGGTGTGAGTGGAGGTTGTGTAGTGGAAAGCAAAGAGCTGAGGTTGCATGAGGTTGTGCAAAAGTGAAAATCTGGTTGTAAACTATTTTGCCCTGCATTGTGTGTGCAGTCATGTCAAATGAGTGTTGGAAATTGTAATTTATGAGTTATGGAACATTTCCATTGTATTGCATGAATTCATTTTTATAAAATGTGCATATTAGAGGCTTAAAATAAGAGAAATGTAAGATTTTAAAAGGATTGTTCCTACTTTGTTTGTTAAATTTAGTGTGCTTTCTGTGCCTCTACAGATGAATATAAATCAGAGCTTGGACAACAGCTCTCCTTGATCGCAGGCTCTTTAGTAGGTGGAGTGTGTATCGTCTCATTGGTAGCTATAGCCATCATCTGTACCAGGTAATGTACAGCAGACTCATGTTTGCACCCACACACACACACACACACGTCATTACACCTAAAACATCCAATCCTGTGTTTGTCAGTGAATTATCTGAACCAGCAGCGTTGGTAGACGCATATTATACCTTGAACATGATGGAAGTATATGCAGCGTAAAACCTGGAACATGGTAAAATAAACGCACAACAATCCTTAAAGAAAGTAAATGTGCTTGTTTGACAAGTAACATATTCTGCTTTATCAAAAGGTTTTAACCAAGCATGACAGTATTTACCACCAAGAGGCTTTTATTTTCTTAATTACTGTTTATACTGTAACAAATGCAGTTGGTGATTGGTTGAGGGCCCAAGAGTGCAGGCAGTAGGTGACAAGTGTGCAGGTAGAATTTGAAAATCTATTTATTAAAGAAAAACAAGACCATGCACTACATGTGACAAACCCCAAAACAGACAAGGGATCTGACAGAGCATAGGTGCAAATGAGAAGCTTTTATTTATTGGGAGAATGATTGGCAAGTGGTAGCAGGTGAGTTAATTACAAAAGGATGACAGGTGAGCATGACAAGGCAAGACAGAACTGAGGGAAACAATGAGCAGGAAAGCAGAAAATGCTCTTAAAACTTAATTAAATAGCAGAAATTGTGTTTAACAAGAGTAAGAACAATAATTAACTAGAATAAAAAATATCAAATCAGAAACTCTAACAAACTTAAGTTTATAGATTTAATTTCTGATGTTCAGCTGCTGCAGTCACAATAATAACTAGCTTGACTGTGCAGGTATTTTTTTTATTCAGGCCTTAACTGATATAGCCAACTCAAAATGAGCACAGCCAAGGCCTCACACAACCCAATATTCTTGCAAAGACTTGTTTTTAAGTCCTCCTTTTATGCCAGACATTCCTCCAGGTGTTCAGGTCATTGAGGTCTGAGTCATTAGTTTTATTTTTGTCCAATAGTAGTTGTTTCCCAGCTCTGAAAGTCCCCGAGGAGATCCCCTGTCTGGGTGCTTAATTTATATATTCATTCATTTATTTATTTATTTTTAATCCGGCCTATTTTCTCTTACCTTTAGGGTTTGTGTCCAAACATGACTGGTTGTGTTAAACAATTGCTTAAATTGAGTTTGCTCGGTTCTCATCCATCTCCTTCCAATTCCTTCAGCTCCTGGTACTCAATGGGTCCATTGATTATAATTGCTGATTGTTTATGGCCCCAACCATTTATCTTCTGTAGATGTTGTTAAATTTTTACACTTCACTGATTGAGCTCACCATCCTTATTCGGCTGTTAGCACCTTAAATCAAAATCAAGTTTACATTAGAGCTCAAGGTTTCTGTTGAAGTCCATCACTGTATTTACTACTGTGTCAAAACATCATTCTGTAAAAATGCTGTTTGCCTGCTTTTGTAATATTTATTCTTTTAGAGTTTTGGTTTTAATCTTCATGTTTTTTATGCAATCATGGGGAATGTTGATAGATTTTTATGCCATATATAAGAAATCTATTAAGACTAGAAAGAAAATTGTATTTTCTGTGAAAATGCAGTGTTAAAGCTGATTAAGCTTTAGTGAAGTAGCTGAAACTGAAATGCTAATGTTAAAAAAATATGCAAAAGCTAAAGTTTGCAAAAGCAAAAGCTAAAAGCTAAGCCCAGCAAAACGATAGCTAAAGGCTAAAATTAACAAAACAGTAAGTAAAACTTAAAATCTGCAAAACTAGCTAAAAGGTAAAATCAGCAGAACAGTAACTCAGAGCTAAATTTAGATAATAAAACATAGTTAGTAAAACAGCAGCTAAAACCAGTGAGAGAAAACTAAAATGATCAAAAAGTAGCTAAGACTAGCAGAACTCTAGTTAAAACTAAAAATTCCAAAACAGCATCTAAAACCCAAATATCTAGCAAATACTGTATGCTAAAGAAGGTTTTAAGCAGTAACAAATTTTCCAAGGATTGAAAAGATCTCAATGCATTTTCATGAGAATATGCTGGTGTAGTTTAGTCATTCAGCCAATCCAGAATGTTTGTTAACAAACAAAGCAGCTGGACTCCTTTCTCTAGTTGAAAATGTTTTGCTTCCGATCAGGGGAACTTTCTCTCCTGCATGCAGTTAATACCGATTACAGTTAGGATCCAGTGGCATGTTAAGATATTACAGAGTCCACTGCTGCTGCTCCACCCTCAGACGATAACCAGAAACAAGGGTGGTAAAATAAATTCCCTTTAACTAAACCAACACATTTTTATTCTAGCATTTTTTGACAGTGAGGAAAACTTTCACTTTGACCAGCTTGAGAGAAAATTTCCCATTTGCATTTTATTCTTGCAACATTTAGAGCTATTGTGTAAAATTTATGTCTTCCCACCACTTGTGTCCCAGAAGTTATACGTCTTCTTTTTTAAAACTTTTTGTAGAAGGAGGCAACTGAAGGAGAGCGTGTTCGGGGACAAGCTGCAGCAGTACAACACAGGAGGAGGTACAGACACTTTTTATATTATAATTCAGGCTAATTTCTGCTATTCTTTTACAAGTGTTTATTTTTTTATCTTTCTCTCAGAAGTAACTCTAAGACCAGACATGTTCAGTGGTTCCACCCCCACAGTGACCTTTCCCACCCTGTCTGAGGGCCGGAGTTCACCAGGGGTCAAGATCTATATTGACCCTTTTACCTATGAAGACCCCAATGAGGCAGTCCGGGAATTCGCCAAAGAAATTGACCCCTCTTGTGTCAAAATCGAGGAAGTTATTGGATCAGGTGGGAATTTCTATACACTTGTGCCTTTGACTTATAAGGTAACTTGTTTTATTTTACCATTACAATGCAGAGGGTTTTAATGGTTTTAATTATACTGATTGAAGATTAACAATAGTAGTTAACTTTATTATGATTTAAATTCTGTATCATGTTGAATTAAAAACAGCCTTATTTTTTTTTTCAACAGTAAACTTTGGTTTATTTTATGAGATCAATACAGTTTTGAACCAGTTGCACTCAAATACAAATTAGTCACATTTTGAACTGGGCCACACTTCTGTGTCAATGAGAACGATCTGGAAATACTCAACACCAATTTATACTTTTGCTTTATTATTATTATTTTTTTTTTTTTGTGCCTTTGAAGTCAGCATGTTTTATTCATGCTGAAAACTTTCACAGGAATAAATTAAAACTTTCTTTTTGAATTCTACTTTGCTAGCAGCACTCACCGTAAAAAAAAAAAAAAAAAAAAGCAGCGATGTTTTGCAGATAAGAGAAAGTTGGCCTCGAAGCTTCATCAGAATTTCTGATTTTTAGGAGTAGAGTTTTTGGATGTTAGCTGATTTAATGAATGATAAAAACAACAAAAACACACAAAAAGAAAACTTTGGCACTTAGTTCAAAATCTAGTTTATAACCAGTGAAGCTTCAAACTGGTCAACCTTGAATTTTTCTATCACCATGTGATATATCCCTTTATAACACAACATAAAGATAACATCTAATCCCTGTGGTCCACATTCTGATGACCTTTGATGGAAAATACAAAGAAACAAGCATTTTAAAGTCAGATCACTATATAAAGGACATGTTTTGTCACAAGAAAAATATATTTATGATTACAGTAGTCCCTCGCTACTTCGTGATTCGTTGTTCGCAGACTCGCTCTATCGCGGTTTTTCAAAATAAGGTTGGACATGACAAACAACTGACTGACTGATGGATGAGCTGCACGATCGGCATGGAATTTTAATTTAAAATAAATAATTTAAATTATTTAGCCCCTGATGCATCTTTGTGCAACCCAGAGCTACAGAAAAAGCTTCCTCCTGCAGCGTATCAGCTGTTCTCCGTGCAGAGCGAAGAAGTGGGCGTGGCCGAGACAGCTTGCAGGTGGCTGAGAGCAGCCTTGGCTGAAAGGAGGCAGAGAGCTAAAATCATGATGTACATACTACAATAAACTACTACTTACTACTTGTACTAGTATTCCTACTTCGCGGTTTTTCACTTATCACGGGTACTCAGGGTACGGATCCCACACAATAAACGAGGGACTACTGTATATGACTAATGTAAATTGCATCATTCAGGCAAACACAGAGAAAATTGTATTTAAGCAAAAATGAGGATGAATGAACATGGGACAGAAGCTGAGACAATACTAAACTATACAGGTAAGCCCAATTAACATGTTCTGATTCACATTTTTCTTCCCTTCTCGCTATGATCTTTTATTGTATACAACATTTCAGCTGTTTTTACATCAGCAGCTTGAAGCTAAATGGACTTAAATGGCAGCATGACGGCTCAGTGGTTAGAACTGTTGCCTCACAGCAACAAGGTCCTGGGTTCAATCCCCCGGTTGGACCTGGGGTCTTTCTGTGTGGAGTTTACATGTTCTTCTCGTGCTTGTGTGGGTTTCCTCCGGGTACTTTGTTTTCCTCCCATAGTCCAAAAACATGCATGTTAGGCTGCCTTCAGGTCCAGGCCTCCCTTGCAAAAGAAATCAGTGATCTCAATGGGATTTGCCTGGTTGAATAAAGGTTAATAATAATAATAAATGGATTTAAAGACACATGAAAAAGAATGATGTTTCATCAGTGGAGCACATACCAGGATGAACATTTATGGAAAATGTTAAAGACAACTGATTAAGTCAACTGATCACATGAAAGTGGTATTTTCAAGCTTCATGTTAAAGGTACAACATGTGAACTTGTTCTGCTTCATCACTGTTAATCAAGACCTAAAATAACGTTCTGATTCTATTGCCTTTATTTTACAAGATCATATTTGTCTTTCGGCTCTATCAGATTGAGAAAAGTGTTTGCTTTAGGTGGTATACCACTGATAACTCATAACTTATTTAAGACAGAACCAAAGCTAATCAAACCCAAAGAGCCTCTGAGCCTGGGTGTTAAAGGTCAAGAACCTGATCCGGACCCTCATCACTGCAAGTATGTGCTTTGGGCTTTGGTCTGTTGAGCCACTTTGAGGGGCTTTTGGTAATCCCTCTATTTGGCGTTTTTCACCTCAGCCAGAGTTGATGGAGGAGGGATGAAAATGTCAGGGAGGTAGGGGAAAAAATGAGTCTGGGTGATATGAGTTGTGGCCGGACTTTCAGCCTTCCGTGGGCTGCGTGACTCCAGGTCAAAGTGAAATGAAGATCGTGTCTTCAGCTGTTTTTCTGTTGTTTTTTCCACACCCTGTGCCTTCGATACGTCCTGCGTGCTTCAACTTTCTCTGCGATTTGACCTCCTTAGCTTTAGTTTGCTTGTGTTTAATGAAAGCCTAAACAAAGAACCATGGAGGGTGAAAGCAGAACAACAGATTGAAGAGCAAAGATAAAAGAAATCATAAGAACCCCAAGGAGATAATAAAAATAGTCCACCTTACTGCCTTATTCACTCCCTCTGAGATAACACCCTCTATTTTCCTCTTTTCCTATTACTATCACTCACACTGCAAGAAATGTCCTTCATGAAAGCACTTTTTTGAGTGAAGATGAAACATGAAACATTATTTTTATTACAGGTAAGAGTGGGATACCTTATCAGACAGTTTTTTACAAACAGTATATTTAGATACAAAATTTATACGCCATCTTCTCTTGCGTCTCCCTTCCTCCTCCTCCCTTCTATTTTGCTCTCTATCCATCTGTGCCTGTTCTAGTTTACAGCGCTGACACCAGATAGTTTTTAATGAGCGATGATATGTGGAGCACAGATCACTGTGAGACTGAACGCCACTGCCTGTCATCCAATTCCCGGCTCTCATCCATTATTCACAAACTGATTTTCATCTCTGGAACGAGGACTTTTATTTTGAAGTGATATTCAATTTTCATGTCCTCCATCAGCATATCGCTGCATTTATTTTGACAAAAGACGTCTGTGTCTCCGCAGACAGGAAGTCTACTGTTCAGTGAGGTTTCAGAGAGTTTGGGTTCTTTACTGCTGGCCTGGTTAACCGAGCTGTAGATGTATGAAATCCTGAAGAATCTAAAGGCCTAGAATCCCTTAAAGGAATTCAGATTGCCCGCCCGCCATTCTTGCCAGAGTTTATGACTAAGATCAATTTAAGATATGAAAAGACACAGTTGGAGTTAGCACTCAGAATATGTGTCGGAGATAAGTCAGCTTCAGTCACATTAAGTCTTTGGTCAGCATGGGTAAAATTGATGTAGTTGGAGCCATTTAGGTGATTTTGTTGTTTTTGACACTGGTTGGCTGTGGGCAGCACGTTGACACAACTGGTAGAGCTGCTGCCTCTCAGTGAGCAAGTCCTCGATTCAAATCCCTGTCCAGAGGCCTTTCTGGATGGAGTTTGCATGTTCTCTCCGTGCATGCGTGGGTTTTCTCCAGGTACTCCAGTTTCCTCCCACAGACCAAAAACATGCATGTTAGGCCGATTGGTAACTCTAAATTGTCCCTAGGTGTGAGTGAGAGAGTGAATGGTTGTTTGTCTCGTTTGTCTCTATGTGGCCCTGTGATGGACTGGAGACCTGTCCAGGGTGTCTCCCATCCCACGCAGAGCGATTGCTGGACATGGGCACTGGCAACCCCCATGACCCAAAATGGAAGAAGCAGGTAAAAGATAATGGATGGATGGATTGCTGTGGCAGCCATTTTAAATCTGACAACAAAAATGGTTACATCATTTCATCTGGACGTGTTTCTTTAAGTGAAGAAACGTTTCATCCCCCATCCAGATACTTGATTGCTGTTAATGACAAATGACGGTTTCAGATGGGTGTGCTCTGTTTGCACGTGTTAAAAAGCCTGCTTCTAAGATTCCAACAGGAGGTTGGCTTGAAACACAGCAATGAAGGCTACCTATGGGACAGATCTGTTTGGCAGGCTGCAGACTGACGAAGTCCTCTGGATGGGGGACGAAACGTTTCTTCACTTAAATAAACTGGTCTAGATGACACGATTTAACAGTTTTTGTTATCTACCTGGATGATTGAGCTTACAACACTTTTTCATTTTAAATCTGGTTAACTCCAAAAGTTTTTTGGTTGTAGGTGTACATCTAGTGATTATACATTCAGCACAGTTCAATAGTCTGTCCAGGCATTAATGAGATATTTTGATAAAATACAGAGACAAACACAAACAAGAAACAACATTATTGTCCACCTTCCCTTTTCTGCAATGGGTGATAATAAATTCTTCTATTAAGTAATGTATTTCAGGTACACAATTCTTGAGGAATTTAGAATATAAAATGTAGAAAATCATGAAGTTTTGACTGACTAAATCTAAAATTCAGCTTGAAATGTGAAGTATTGCTCAGTAATTCTGCTACTAAAATACTGACAGGTTATGGTAAAATACATATTGTAAAGTTTTTTTTGATACACCATCAACCCATCCATTCATCCATTATCTTCTGCTTTTTTTTTTAAGTCGAGTCATGGGGGCAGCAGCTTGAGCAGGGAGGCCCAGACATCTCCACAGCCACCTCCTCCAGCTCTTCTGGGAGGATTCCCAGGCGTTCCCAGGAAGACCAAGAGACGTAGTCTTTCCAGCTTCTCCTGGGTCTTCCCCGGGGTCTCCTCCCAGTTGTACATACCTGAAGCACCTCCCTAGGGAGGTGCCTAGGGAGCATCCTTACCAGATGCCTGAACAACCTCAACTGGCTACTATTGATACTATTGATGTGGAGGAGCAGTAGTTCTGCTCCAAGTCGCTCCCGGATAATTGAACTTCTCACCCTATCTCTAAGGGAGAGTCCAGCTACCCTGCAGAGGAAACTCATTTCAACTGCCTGTATCCATGAGCTCATTCTTTCAGTCACTACCCAGAGTTCATGACCATAGGTGAGGGTAGGAATGTAGACTGACCAGTAAACAGAGAGCTCTACCTTACAGCTCAGCTCCCTCTTCACCACAATGGACCAGTACAGAGTCCACAATAATGCAGATGATGCACCAATCCATCTGTCAATCTCACGCTCCTTTCTTCCCTCACTCGTGAACAAAACCCCGAGATGCTTGAACTCATCCACTTGAGGCAGAACCTCACTCTAGACCTGAAGAGAGCAATCCACCCTTTTCTGACTGAGGACCATGGCCTCAAATTTTGAGGTTTTTTTATTTTTTATTTTTTTTTTTAGATGCACAATATTTTAAAATAACTTAAGCAGCGGTTTTCAATGTGGGGCTTTGTTTTTAGATTAATAAATTCTGATAAATTACAGTTATGCCCCAGTTCATGAATAAAAAAAATGGGAAAATGTTTAATAAATAAGGAATATATCATTCAAGTAATAAGTTTTAAGATCCAAAAAAATGTCCCTCATTTGAAATCTCACAACGATTGTACGCTTGTTTAAAGATTTCAAGTTTCCTTTTCCTTTAAAACATCAATAAACTAATATGTCTGATGCTAACTTACCTTTCCAAATCTTTGTTTTTCTATCAACTAAAACATTAGTCTAGACTTAGAATAAACATTAGAATAATCTCATTCATTGAGATTTTTTTGGTATTCATCCTTTTTTTGCAAATGTACTTTGTACATCCTTCATTAAAAAGTCTTAAAGATTATTGTATCGACTTCAAGGAGCCTGCACAGAGGATGAAAAATAAAATATCCTCCCTAACTGAGTAGGTTTATATCTGTAATGGCTTTGTTGTTGGTCTCCTGTGATGTGCATGGCTTTATCTTCTGTTTGTTGTAATTTATTGCTTCTGAAGCTGCTGTCTTTCTTGACGAGGACACTCTTGTAGAAGAGATTTTTATTCTCAAGAGGTTAATTTCCTGGTTACAGAAAAGTCTAAATACATAAATACAAATTAAGCTTCTTTTATTTAAGTGAGAGATTATATTAGAGATGTGCAAAAACAATATTTCTAAGTAATCATAATGGCACTATCCCTTTTTATCTTGTTTTCCGTCTCGACTGCACAACCTATCCTCACCCCTGAGAGCAGTTATTGAAGGGATTTACTTCTTGTTGTTCTTTCAGTGTGTGTGTGTGGGTGTGTGTGTGGGGGGGGGGGGGGGGAGGCGCCCTTGAGCAATTCCTGCAACCTCAATCTGCTGTGGTGGACCTACTCAGAGGCCATCACTGTGTTGGGAGCGTTCAGCTTCAAACACAGAGTTTTTCCTGCATTTCCCACAAACACCACTCACACTTAACAGCTCGGTTTCTGTAAAAGCCTCATTTTGTTTGCCTCATTCATGTTTTATCATAAAATACCAACTGATATGAAATTTGAAGTGTATTTAATTTGTTGACTCTTGTATATTAGGTAAAATGGTGTAACCAAATCATTCAAATTTCTTCCTGTCTGTTTTTAGGCGAGTTTGGGGAAGTGTACAAAGGTCGCCTGAAACCTGTTGGGAAAAAGGAAATTCCTGTGGCCATCAAGACCTTAAAGGTGGGCTACTCTGAGAGGCAGAGGAGAGACTTCCTGGCTGAAGCATCAATCATGGGTCAGTTTGACCAGCCCAACATCATCAGGCTGGAGGGAGTGGTCACCAAGAGCAGGCCTACAATGATCATCACAGAGTTTATGGAGAATGGAGCCCTCGACTCATTTCTCAGGGTAAGTCACCTACAAACATAATCAAAATACAGTACATGCAAATTTACTTTTTTTGTGTGTGTATTGAACATTTTTTGAACTATTTATTAAAGTGTCAAAGTTTCTTTATTTGTCATACGCACCACATGTGGTACATGTGGCGGAATGAAATTGTGTACACAGGATCCCAGTTACATCCAGCAAAAGTATAAATTGTAAACGAAACACAGTAATAAGATCTAACATATGAACTAAGAAAAACGTTAACTAAAAATACGCTAAGAACCAGTAGTACAAAAACAATACGCCGAACAACAGCAGCACAAACATGAGTCTGTGTGAGCAGTTGAGTATGAATGAACACAGCAGCATGAAATAAATCAGCAGCATGAGATCAGCAGCATGGATAATCATCAGCACATATCAAAAGTCAAGTGGCATTGCAGTGATTTTTTTTCACCGTGATTATACTGGTTAGGGATTCAAAAAATATAACCCTTTCACCACCTGACTCGTAATATTTTGAGATTAACTATTCAGCTCCCAAATAAATTCCAATTACCTTATTGTGACAAAGACATTCCAATGTATTTTAATGGTATTTAACTATATTTAACTCATGTAAATGAGTCCCCGTGGCTCAATGAGGCTAGCCTGTATAAATAAAGGTTGAATGAACTGTGTCTAGAAGTATAACCATGAGTCTCGTGAGGTTTACTCACGCAAACAATATAATGTAACAATATAACCTACAAGTTATTTTCACAGTGTACTGCTGAATGAAGAAATGAGAATCACACAAGAGTTTTTTTTTTTTCTTTTGTATTAAACATGTGAAAATTAGAACACAAAATAAAACCGTTGAAATAAATGAATGCATTTAACCCTTTGTTTAAGTTTCAGTCAGTTTCAGTTAGCAGAGTACACTCTTATTTTTGATTTTTTATCTTTTATGCAAAGTGTGAACATCGATTCAGCATTTACACTATACTCATCTTGTTTAGTTATAATAATAACCTTTATCTTTTGGTGTTCAGGTTGCTATTTTGCCACTTTTAGCTCTTAGCTAGGCTTTTGCTTCTTTTAGCTTCCAGCTACTATTTTGCTTCATTGTGTTTCCAGCTAGTATTTAGCTTCTTTGAACTTCCAGCTAGTAAGCTCTTTTAAGGAACTCATTCAGCGCAGAAAACACAATGTCTCCAGCTCAACTTATCTTCAATGTGACCCACCTTTGAAGGCCATAAACACCAAACAAGGCGTCATTTGAAGACAGGTTTGGAGAGAGTCAGAATCAACCTTCTGTTCTATCGTTTCACTCTTTGACTTCCTGTGCTGCTTCCTACTCATCCTGCCAGCCTGTCTGCCAGTCTGTCCGTCTCTTTGATCCTGGCCTCCTTTCGAGGCGCCTCTAAAAACAGAGAGGAAAAACTCTTTGATGGCTGCTTCTCACACTGCGACCCCATTTGACTCAGAAATCATCAGATGACTCACACGCACGCATGCACAAAGATCGATCTCAGTGGCGTTGCTGTCCTGGTGTGACCATCTCGCAGGCTCAGGACCAGCAGGATCAATGTGTCGTGTGTATGTGTGTGTTTGTGTGCACCTATGAAAAGGGTTTGCCCACAGAGGTTTAGGCTAGAGGAGCATCAAAGGCACAGTTTGGTGCGTGAAGTGAATTAAAAGACACACACCTTCGACTGCAACCATGTCAGTGTAGGGTTTCTGTGAGGGTTATAAGAAATGGAGACGGTCTGGCACAAAGGTGCAAGACGAAGGTAGCAAAATGGCAACACAAAAACAAAACACAGATTTACGTATCTGAAATGATTCATAAATTACAAAATGCATTTTTTTCTGTACTTTACAAGAATATCGCATATATGTAATGTTGCTCAAATTAAGTTGGATGAAGTTATATCTTTATTAATTTGTTAATAGAAGAACAATGGACTTGACTTTCAATATTTGTCCAGATTTTAGGGCATCCTAAAGGGCTTGTGTGTGCTGTCATTGTTTACGCCCTAGGCAGCAGCCATTATGGTATGTTTAAATGTCCAAATTAAAGGCGTACAACCAATTTTTTTAGCAACCTAAGACAGACAGAATAAGGGGGAGTGGTGGCGCAAAGGTTAGAGAAGGTGGGCCTTTGATCGGAAGGTCGCCGGTTCAACTTCCCAGACCAACAACACACACAACCCACCTCCACCCTCATTTTCCCCACTCTGGGCCCTTGAGCAAGGCCCACCATCTGCTCCCCCGGGTGCCCTAGATAGCAGCTCTCTGCTCCACACAGAGGACTGTGGTAGCTCGGTGGTCTGTGGTTGTGGCAGGAAGGACATCTGGCGTAAAAACAATTGCCATGTCTTCATGCAAGTTAGTTTTCTGTGGCGACCCCAGAAGAAGGGAGCAGCTGAAAGAAGAAAAAAAAACATAATGTACTGTATATATAGACAGATAAAGGTTATATCAAATTTGTTTTTAATAAATCAGAAATGCATTCTTTGCAAATGAGCTCATGATCAAATTAACTCGCTTGAAAAAGAACAGTACAAGGTACCACTTTCTTTAAGAGAACATCCATCTATTCTTTCATCCATCCATCCATCCATCCCCACTTCTCCTTTCCGAGTTGTGGGGAGCTGATGTCACCTAGGGACAATTTACAGTCAACCTAACATGCATGGTTTTGGTCTGTTGGAGGAAACCAGAGTACTAGTAGCAAATACATGCAAGAACAAACTAGCTCCATCCAGGCTGGGAGGCAAACCTGCAACTTTCTCACTATGAGGCCACAGCTCAAACCACTGTTCCACTGTGCTGCCAGACTATGTCCAATCACACACAAAACATAAATGATTAAGTAGATTAGACTGAAATGCTGTGAAATTATTTCATTAAAATGCAAAAATGTCTGCACTCAGGATGTAAAGCTGCCGTTGATTTAAATGCCAGTAGGAGGAGGTGGTTGTTTATTAGTATCTTGAGGGTTTTTAAGCTCTAAGTGGTTCTTAGATCAGTGGGGGGTATCAGTGAGTTTTCTAAATGAGGTGATTTATACCAAAAATTGTGAGCAGAAAAAAGCACAATCCCTTCTTATTTTGTGTTTTGTAGTTGAATATCTTGAATATTCTGGTTGCTTGAATTTAGTGTTCTGAAATAGGTAGAATGCTTAAAATTTATTCCTGATAAAACTGAACCAAACCCTTTCAGAATTAAAACCATCAACATCTGAAGCATGTTTTTTTTACACTAGTTTCACTGAAATGTTTCGATAAACTAGTCAACAATTTGCGTTCTCATAATTCCAATTTGCGTAACACAACGCTGTCACATACTGACAGGTCTGTTCAAATGCAGAGCTGCCTCTGAACGATCGATAAATATCTCATGAGAACAATATTCAAGTAAACAAGAATAAACCTTTCACCGTTCACTGTGTTCCAGCAAAATGACGGGCAGTTCCCAGTAATCCAGCTGGTTGGGATGCTGAGGGGCATCGCATCTGGAATGAGGTGCCGACACACACAAACACTCACATGCACTTCCTCCAGAGAGTATCACTGATTCTGATCCTTCAGTAACTGAAGAAAAGTAATTTATTTTTCCAGAAACAGTTCTTTCATACTGAGATCTCATATGTTGATATTTCATTCAGTCTGATCGGGTGCATCAGCCGCTGAAGTTGCACCTCCTCCACTGACTTCTGCACACACACAGCTCTTCTACTTTTTGTATAGTAAGCAAATATGTGTATTTAAAACACCACAGTTTGTTGGTTTTGCAGCTTGAATTCCTACGAATACACAAACACTTTCACAAGCAAGATCCTATCTGTGTTTTACTGCGGGGTGTGATAACACTCAGGCATGTACATACATAGAAATATTAAATCTCTGTCCTATTTTATTGAAGGTAGCTGCAAGTGATAACTCACACATAAACAGAGATACACACACACTCTAAATTCCATTATAGTATCCGGCCGATAACAAACACCCACACAGTAAATCCTATTGATGTTCCAGGTACCTGGCGGAGATGAGTTATGTTCACCGGGACCTAGCTGCGAGAAACATTTTGGTTAACAGTAATCTGGTGTGTAAAGTGTCCGACTTCGGCTTGTCGCGTTATCTGGAAGAGGATACCTCCGATCCCACCTACACCAGCTCACTGGTAAGAAAACACCAATATATCCCCTCACCCATACTGGAGCCTGAAAACTTAACAAATGCTGCTTGTTTATCTTAAAGGTCTTGCACAGTCCAATGCACTAAATGCTGATTCTGTTAATAAATAAATAAAATACAGTCTGTCAAGGATTGTGCAACATAAGGTTGAGAAAAGTCCCATTTTTATATTTATTTATGTAAACTTTCCTCCAATTATACCCATGTTTGGTATTGGCATCTGCCTAGATTTTTTTTTTCCTGTTAGTTTATTATTGGGTGTAAGTTAAGGGTTTATGATGAGTGGTTTAGCTTTGTTTTTCTTCCTTTGGCTGCTGTTGTGTTATGAAACGAAGTGATGTAATAAAACAAAGAAATAATAAATAGACAAAACATGTTTTTGTTTTTTTTTCCCCCCACAAGGTCAGTTGTTCAAATCTGAAGTATTTTAGTTTGTTTCTTAAAAAAACAAAAACAAAAGTAGAAGTAGAACAAATCAGCATATTGACCTTTTTTCTTTGTCTTTTTTTTTTTTTTTTTTTTGGCGAGGAACTCAGTTGGTTTGCAAACATTCTTGTAGAGCTCATCAAAAATCTAGACAGACAGGAACCAGGAAGTTAAAGTGGGAACAAGCTTCTCTATCAGCTGGTCCCAGTAGTTTAAAGTCCTGCCCCCTCCATGTACATGCACAGAATCAGAATAAGCTTTATTATCATTGTACCGATGTACAGTGAGATTATGTTCGTACAGTCGTCCGAAAGATGGGTGGAGTACATGTTGCTGCTGCTATTCGAGTGCGGCCCCTTATCCTTTTTCAGAATACTTTTTTAGGTAGAAAAAGGGGAAAAAACCTTGAGGATAGGATAGTGGCATTACAACAGAAAGGACACTAATTTTAGCCATGCATGCATGCATGCATGGCTAAAATTGCATGCATGCATGCATAATGTATAATATATGTATAATACATACATATATATATATATATATATATATATATATATATATATATTCTTAGTTCTCACCCTGTTGATGTTCAAATATAATTCCTTTATGTCTAAAATAACGTTCACTTGACACTATGAATATGTGGTGAGGGGTGGGGCAGTAGGCATGTCTTTAAAGTTCTACATCTCTAGTGTACTAACTCTGGTTATAAAAGTACAACATTGCAACTTCCATAAACCAGATCCTGCTGGCTTTAATAAAAGAAAAATTAAATAAAAAAAAAGACAGGCAGAGACATTTAGCCAACATTTTGTTTCAATTGTAGCACTGCAAACTTGCTCCAAAGGTGTGTTTGTAAGTCAACCAGAGAGAAAGTAATTGTTATATTTCTACCTTTGAAGAGAATTGTCTCCATGAATCTTATGTTGGCTCCAGTCATTTGACAGCTCTGGTTCTACTCATTGTCTTAATGCGACCCACAACTTCCACAACACTTTTTTTTTTGTTATAGAAAACGAAACTAAAGATAACATTTTTTTCAGCGTTTAGCTTGCGTGGTAATATGAAAATTATTAACATGTTGTATAACAGGGCTATTAAACTAAATTGCTCATGGGGCCACAGTTACTGAAAGCCAAGAGCTCAGGGGCCGGACATCCAGCAGTTATTGTCATTAAGTAAGTTTGTTTTATGGTTTAAAATCTAGTTTTTATGTAAAAATTAACCCATTGGTGGGCCGAACTGAGTTCACCCGTGGGCCTGATTTGGCCCCTGGACCACTAGTTGAATAGCCCTGTTCTATAATTTCTTGCACTTTCCATACAAATGTTCATATTGTATTACATCTACTAGTTTTTTTTTTTTTTTTAAACAATCATGTAATCCAGTTTTAATCAACTCTGTTCTCATTACAGTGCTTTCTGAGCACCTTTAAGTAGAATTAGGTAGAAAAAGTCCTTCCTGTAAGGTTTTATTTCCTTCGTTCCTTTCTTTATCGCTTCCCTTCGTGTCCTACTTTTTCTTTCCCTCAGGGAGGTAAAATCCCGGTGCGTTGGACGGCTCCAGAGGCGATCGCCTACAGGAAATTCACTTCCGCTTCAGATGTCTGGAGTTATGGGATCGTCACCTGGGAGGTGATGGCTTACGGAGAGAGACCTTACTGGGACATGAGCAACCAAGATGTAAGTCGGTGCAGAGTTGGAGTCTGTCTCTTGTTCTGAGCTCTCATCTGACGCCTGCGACTGTAAAAGATTGTGGATGTCTTTCTGGTGTCTGGGGGGTTGTGCTTGTTTGTTTTCTTTGCTGCCTCTCACCACAGGGAGTCGGCATGTCTAAGAAAACACACGGAAAATGAGGACATCAATTTGAGTGTCACATGTGTGTTTGTTCCCTGAACATTAGTTCAAAAGGGATCAAGACTGTGTTTCCAAACTGATGTTTACTGCAGGCAATATTTTATTGTGTTGACAGCTTTATTCCAATTACTTTCACAGTATGATCTGACTTTCTATACATTATTTTAGTATGTGCAACACCTTGATGTTATTAACTGCTTCAAGATTGAATTCATCCCGCTGTGTTTTAGGGTGGAACAAAATTCAGTAGTTTTATAAAATGAGATGTTCAATTCTCTGCTGTTTTTGTGTCAGGAATAGTTTAAAAGAAGGAATCGTCTTTAATTTTCCAGAGTTTTACTGCTGAAACCTAAAGGAGATAAGGTACCGAACATGAAAAAGGAGGTTCCACAGGAATGGATTTGTTGACAGTTTTATTTTTAGGATTTAATTCAAAGAAAAATATGGTTGTATCCGCTTTGACACTAAAACCTACTTTAAACAAGTGATGCTCTAAATCCCACTTCTTGCTGTCTGAACATAGCAAACTATAACCATTTATCCTAAGATAAAGTGTATATTCTAAAAGAAGTGTAACAAACCACTAAAGCTATAATCAGCTGGCAGCTCCGTGGGCCAGATATGGCCCACAAACTCATTTCATTTGACCTGCTAAGTATAAAACATTCATAAATCAAACACAGTTTGACAGTCATCAGTAAGCTTCCCTTCACACTCACATATTAGCAAGCAAATGTTGAGATGCTTTAACTTTTCGCATTACAGTAGTCCCTCACTTATTGCGGGGGTTACATTCCACACACCCCCGCGATATGTAAAAATACACGAAGTAGGGATGTTATATTTATTATAGTATTTATATATATTCTAAGGCTTTATAAACCCTTCCCACATTCAATTGTTCTAAACTATTAAACCTACATAATTTTAACAATATGTATGTACTGTACAGTACTGCAAAGTTTTATATGGGTACTCACCAGTAAAGATTCAACTTGAAGGATCAGCTTCAGGATTATTTGCGACTTTCCTGCCAGTTCTGTGAGATTAATAGATAGTTCGTTACATCTGACTTTGCGTTACAAAACCATTTTTACCACATCCATGTCTCTGCTGGCTCCTTCCATTGCTGTTCTTTGCATTTTGGCAGAAAGCAGCGTCTGGAAGCACTGTTGTCTTCTGGGCCGTGTAGTTCTTTTGACTTGCGTCAGATTATAGGCTTATTAAAAGGAAACTACAAAATGACAGCGCCTGTCTGAAATATATATATTTTTTATTTTATTTTTTGTTTTGTTTTTGTTTTTTGTCCTTTTGGTTGGATCCTACTTCTGTCCGCTCCCGTTAACTTTTTTATCCCGTACCGTCCCAATGTCTTGAGTAATATTAAAGTTGGCAATCATGTGTCGTGTACAATCATGTTGAAAAAAGAGTGAGTCCGTGAAAGTCGAACCGCAAAGTATCGAGGGACTACTGTAGTACAAATCAGTAAGTGTCAAAAAATGGGAGACCAAGCTTTGAATCCAGCTTAGGGTTGGCACTTTTTTTCACATAAAAATGTCATTCCTCAGAGTTGGTAAAATCTTTCAACTCACTCTTTTACTCCACCAAAGTCTAACGTGCAGTAGAGTTTTCTTTTTAAGTTCAGCTGTCATTATTAAAGGTATTAAGGGAGTTAATCAGTGGCAACCTTTGAACTTTTCTGACACATTTTCAAGTAGTAAAATCACTCACATCTATCTGCAGAGATTTGGCTTCCCCTGTCTAGCACCTGATCCATCCCCTTTTCCTTCATATTTACACTTTCACCTCCATCTTTTACTTCCTTCCGGCTAATTCCTTCCTCCTCGCACCCGAGCTTCAGAAGCATCCTCTGCAACCTTAATGACAGAGTCAGTGTAATAGAGACAGATTTATAATAGAACAGTCTGAGTATAATGATGGAGAGAGAGTGTGCGTTACAGCTATAGCTAACGAGGGTCTGCGGGGGCATTAACTATGCATGCTTCTGACACCCCGACTTGCACATATGAAGCACACAGACACATTCAGCTGAACCATAGTCACGGGCCGACATGTGTAAATGCACGCACACATGCACACACAGCCATGATTTCAAAGAAGTCGGAGCGGTGAAATCGTCAGCAGAGCCACTGCAGGTGCTGTGTTCAACATGAATTAATCATGAAAGAGACCTGTGATGTTTCTCTACACTTGCTGCTGTTTTGATTGGCAGCGGCGCTCAGAGTGAATTTATGCATTACAAAGCCTGAGAAGTGTGCCGGGGTCAAGTGGAGTTCACCCAGCGAGCAGACAAATCCCCAGCGCCGCGTTTACAGCGCCGTAATGGAAGTGCCACATTATTTCAGCTTACAGATATGCAGACTTGTTACTTTTAATATAAGTTTTGAGGAAAAAAAAATACTTATTGGAGTTTATTTCACACGATTTTATGGCTTGAGATTTTTGTTAAAAAATACGCACATTTCTAAACACACTGCAGCAGCTCTTATTGAAACTGTTTGACTCATGTGTGTATAACAAAGAAAGTTTGAACAAGGTCCGTGTTTAAAGCAAAGACAGGCAGTGATGCTTCAGGTAATTAAAGCCGACAGAAAAAGGTTAAAATTTAAGTAAAAAAGGAAAACCAGACAAAATTGTTGACGATGTTTAGGAGGAAGGAAAAATAAATAAATATAAATATATATATATATATATATATATATATATATATATATATATATATATTACACGGGTGAAGAAAAGGTAAATATGGAGACAACTGAGAAATTTAAAGCATATGGGTGGAAATCAGGTGAATGGAAATGCTGAGAACATCAGACATTTAAATTTTAAATGGCAAAGTTAAAATGGTTTGAAAACAGAACAAATGATTTAAGTTTGTCCTATTTGTACATTCTGATTTGGGAGCTCTTCACTTTTGTTTCTGGCCCAATTTATCTATTAAAGTTTTTTGTTTGTTTGTTTGTTTTTTAAAGACAAAAAAAAAAATCCCTAATTGCTTTATAAAAAAATAAAGAATAGAATACAAGATACATAACATGAAAAAAATGAACAGAAATAAACTACCAAAGACAATCAGTGAACTAATAGGCATACAATCAGGTGGCACAGTGGCACAGTTGGTAGAGCTGCCACCTCTCAGCTAGAAGGTCGTCGGATCAAATCCCAGCCGGAGAGCGGGGATTTCTGTCCCTAGGTGTGAAGGAGCGACTAACTGGTCGTTTGTCTCATTTGTCTCTATGTGTCCCTTTGATGGACTGGAGACCTGTCCAGGGTGTATCCCGCCTCTCATACAGTGATGGCAGGACATGGGTACCAGTGAACCCTGTGACCCGAAAAGGAAGAAGCGGGTAAAGATGGATGGATGGATGGATGGATGGATGGA